GCAAATAATTGTTATTAGCATTATTGGCCTCTTCATGTATGAACAACAGTATGCTTGCAGCTTTATTTTTATTATAGCAACTCAGCAAACAACCTAAGGGGGGCCTCACGCACATTGCATACAAAGCTCCCCAACCCCAGGGCCTCATCAGAGGGCGGCCACAAACGCAGGTTCCGCTCCCTGTGCTGGGGAGCAGCACGACCCCACTGCCTCCCGGCCACGGATGGAACGTGCCTGTCAGAACTTGCTCAGCAGGGTGGACGTGCCCGGCCAGTGCTGGGACATCTGGGGTCATGTGTGCACACGGAGATCCAGGCCCCCCGGCAGCAGCCAGCAGGTGAGCCTCAGCCCCCCACATGGCCGGGTGCAAGAGCTGCCCTGACAGGGCGCCCGCCGGGCTGGGGCGGAGACAGGAAGACCTTCCAGCATTGGAGCAAATTTCCCAGGAATTTCAGGCCGCTTTGACCACCTGGGGGCACTGAGAAGTGATTTTTTTTTATCACACTCCTACATCTGTCTGGAATAATACCAAGTATGGCTGTAAATATTTGTGCAGCCCTCACAGCGCAGGCGCACATTCACCGCGTTATCCGCTGCGCTATCCGCTGCGATCCGAGGCCCAGTTGTCCGTTTGCTCGCTCGAGGAGGTGAGTGCGTATGATCAAACATCCAGAACGGCACCCAAGGACTGAGAGAAAAGCTAGTCTCCCTTCTGGCGCTGCACCCAATTTCCCTTTAAAGAGGCAACATGTGCTGTTGTTTTCTTGTGTATTCTTCTAGATTTTTGCCCATTTTGGAGATGAAGAAGCTGGGGCTCCAGGCAGCTGAGTGACTTTCCCAGGGACACACACAAGTAAGTCGTACCTGCGTCTCACCACGGGCTGTAAGTGTCCCACACCGCCCTTTAGCCAAGACATAGGCTCGTAGGAAAACTTACAAGATAAAAACAAATAAAAGCCGATAAAAACCAAAGCCAGAGCAGGAGGCTGGAGCAGCTGCCTACGCCTGGCAGGCACTAGGAGGACTTCCTCCTCTGGCTGCCCCACGCCCACCACCCTCCCTCCCCCTGACGAGCAGGGGCAGCGCCCAGTGTTCAGGCCGTTCTGCCCTGTCAGAGCATTCCCACCCGATGTCCCATGCCCTCCAGACCCTGAGACCCTGGCGGTTGATCTGATAAAAAGTGCATTCTGGACTGCGAAGGGCCGATAACGTCCAAAGCCTGGTGTGCAGCCTGCGGTCAGCCCAGCCCCGAGGCCACGCCACAGAGAGCCCAGAGACAGGGCTGAGGTCCCTGGCCTCCCCGCCATCCCACCCACCCCCTAGTGGCCCGACTGCTTTCCAGAAGGTGTCCCATAAAGCCAAAAGCCTGCTCTAGGCGTGGAGTAGAGGTGGTGGATGGGAAGCAATAAAGGGGTGGGGCCGCGGGAGCCGTGTGTGTGTGTGTGTGTGTGTGGGGGGGGTGTCTATGGGACACCCTGCAATCCAGCTTAAGCAGTTTCTTCCATCCACACTCCCAAATCACTTACTCGCAGTGCCCTTTGGGAAGGGCATTTCAAGGCTGGAGAGGGAGGTGTTCGGGCACACCGAGGGGACTAGGGAAGGGGTGAAGCCAGTGGAGCCGCAGTCTATTTGCAAGAGGCAACTCGAGCTGGATGTGACGAGCCTAAGAAATGTCATCTGTATCCAAGGAAGTAGGTGCTGGAAAAAAAAAAATAAGTGCTCCTTACCTGGCACTGAATGGGTGCTCGATAAATATTGTAGTTCACTCATGTATGTCCTCTGTATTCTTCAACTGTTGTTTATCCAACTTAAAAAATGTTAGGAATGAAGATGTAAATCCCTATAGAGAGGCAGAGAAGTTCATCCTTTGGCAACATGAACTTCTCTGCATAGCCCACCCTCTGGGACCAAGACTGCAGCCCAAAGTCTGGCAAATCTGAAATATATACCACACGGAACATTCCACAGAAGTGAATTACTATTGGAATGAGAATATTTCTGCTCACTCCCTCTATGATTTTATCCTTGTATTTAAAGCTTTAATATTGCAATAAGGTAGCTTTTGGCTTTTAATTGCCCTGAACTTTTGCTAACATTAAATGAAGGGAGGAAATGGAAAGTAAAATAGAAACGTATCTGTATTACTTGTGAGTTGCATAATTGTGTATTTTTGCCACTCCATTAGTTTTCAGCTATTCCAGCCTGTAAACCTCTCCCCCATCACCACTGAGAAATAAGTCAGTCATTCTGTTATTGCTACGAAGTTTGCAGAACTCAATGTTCTCTTCTCTAGCATTAAAGAGAATTATGCAACTTTTAATTTGAGGTCTATTTTTTAATTACCACCTGTGTGGGAGACCTAAATCACATAAGCATTTGGTTGTTCTCTTGCTTTTTCAAAAAACACTTTTCACCTCCAAGAGGATATGACGTTTAGAGACTTAAGCATCAGTTATTGGAGCCAGCAGAGCTTTCCCGTTATTTGTGGAAGAGAAGAGGCACCGCCCCACCCAGCCACTCCTAACTCACGGGTGACCTCAGAGCCTTGGCTCTCACTTTCCAAAAATAAAACTTTACCTAGACGCTCTACCACACCCAGAAAAATTGGCTCCAAAATCTTTCACCAAACAGTTTCAAAGAGTGAAAGTGAGAGCTGCCTAAGCAACGCATTTCACTGTAACCATGGCTACAGGTTTTATTAGCGCTAATACCAGGATATGGTCAGATCGGATATATATAGACGACAAACAAAAGTGTGAGTGGTGTCAGAGTGTTCATCCATGAATTCTCCACATTGGAAATGTAGCTCCTAATAATTGCCATGCATAAAAGCCCAGGGGAAAGGGAGGGGAGGGCCAGGAGGGCGCAGGGCTGCATCAGTAAGAGAAGCTTGATGTTCTAATTTTAGCTTTAACTCAGCTTTTTAATATAATCCCCTAAAAATCCCACTACCTTGCATCAAAATTGCAATTTTCCCTCTTTCGCATTTCTCGTCTGTTCTTCATAACTATCTTAAGACGTATCCAGGATGGGTAATAACCTCATTTCTCAGAAAGCTTGACTGACTTTGCCCAAGGTCAAAGGCATGGTGGACAACTGAACTGGATGAGGACTGGGTCCTCTGACTCCTGGCTTAATGTTCTTCCTACTCTGCCCCCATGCCAGCCTTTCGTATTGTGCCCAGGGATATTTTGATACATACCAATTCCTCTTGCCAATATCCTTCATCCTTATCGTTTGTCTGATTAGCCACAGATCAAGATCAGTCAATCAAACTGTAGGTCACAGCTGCTAAGGTGCCTTTTGTCCTCACTTATATCTTCCAAGCCCCTGCATGCTTCTCCCCTCCTTAGGTTACAGCACTGAGAATAGGTGATGTAGTCCCTACTCCTGAAGGGGTTTGTAATCCAGAGGCTGCAAACTTAAAATGCCTCCAGGGACCAGGTGGGTGAACAAGACTGGGGGAAACGGGCAGGCTGCGGCTGGGGTAGGGGATGGGGGCAATGGAGAGAGCACAGACCCTTTTAAAGTTCCAGCAGATTGTGGATAGGCAGAAAAATAATAAAAACTGAAGGTGCCTGTGGGTGGGCTGTAGCTCCAGGACTGCCAGTGAGCGCTGTGCCTACTCAAAGAAGTTATCCTTCGGGCCCCCAGACCCACTGCCCTGTACCATGTTGCGTTGCATTTCTCTTCTGACATGTTTGCTTCTGTTAAAATGTGAGCTCCTCAAGGTCACAGAGACATCTCAATCGAGAGTGTATCCATGGAATGTGGCGGACATGGCAAGCTTTCAGAGGCTGATGGATGAATGACTGGGTGAACATTATCTGAGACGGAAGCCCTGAGCCCCCTGCGAGTGGTGGCCGTATAGCAGAGTGGTCACAGCAGGCCCTTTGCACTCAGACAGGACTAGACTCAAACCTCTCCCTGCACTTTAGTGGCTTCATGGCCTCGGGAAAATTACTTAATCTCTGCTTTCCTCGTTTCCTCGTCTGTGTAATGGGAATACAAAGTCCTAGCTGTTGAGTTGTTGAATGAGATCACGTCTATAAAGCCTTGATTACACACAGAGTTGCGCACTTAGTGAGAACTCAACAAACGGTGGCTTTTTGATTCAACAGCTCGTTCACTATTCCTGAAAAAGTGATAAGACATTTTGCCAACCGTCTGTTTTGCGGCGTTGGCCTCCTAAAATATCAAAGTCAAAAGAGGCCAGCCAAAGGAAAACAAGTGTGCATTCTAGCTGAATTGAAGAGGAGAAAATTGATAGTGAGGGACACTAGACTCCCCTGAGAAGCTGGGTCTGGAGGTCAGGAGAGCTGAAAGAGGAAGAAGCAGCTGGAAATAAACAGAAATAAAGTTAGTGAAAGAGCAGGGGAGAGGAAAATTGTCTGCCCTGATTCCCTAGAGTTGGTTAACTCAGTCTTTAAGCCAATTCAATGAAAAACTGATCAAACTCCAATGAGGACAAAATAATTATTTAATAGGTGGATGTTTTTACCTCTCACACAACTGAATAGTATAATAACAAATGCAGTGCTTCACAGCTGTCAAGGAATGTTCAAGGCACCCCTGGTTTGTGGCATACTTAAGCCACATGCTCCACACACATCATCTCATTTACTCTGCCCAGCGACGCATTCATTCATTCATCCATTCAGCAGACACGGCCAGCCCGCTCTCTACCAGGCACTGTTCCAGATACTGAGAGTAAAATGACGTAGCACAGTGGATAAAATGCCTAACCCTTTCAGGAAGATGCTAATATGTCTGTTTACAGAAGAGGAAACTGAACTCCAAGCGCTTAAGTGAATGTTCCACAGACTCCACACCAGGGGTCCTCAAACATTTTAAACAGGGGGCCAGTTCACTGTCCCTCAGACCGTGGGGGGGCCGTTAGAGAGTGTGGCGGCGCACATTCCACACTTGCGCACTGTGGGCCGGGACGAGTCGGCTGCTAAGCAGGATGGGCAGCGGCGGCAAAAACACCGGGCGGGCCAGATAAATGTCCTCGATGGGCCGCATGTGGCCCTTGGGCCGTAGTTTGAGGACACCTGCTCCACACCATGTTGGTTGGAGTGGGGCCAATTTTTTAAAGCGATTTGTGCTTTAAAGAGCAAAAATTCTTGACTACAGGTTTTCTAGTTTGTGAGAAGAAAAACCATAAGCCCTCAATGATCTGAGGGAGGTAAACTGAGGAAGGTGACTTGCCAACAGGCTGGAGATATTGTATTCGATCATGTTAGTACAGTTAGAATTTTCAGGGAATCAGAGAGACGTAATGTCTCATAGTTAATCCTAAAGTAAGCTGAAAAGGACGAATTATTCTCAGTGCATGGCCTGGGCCCTTTGGAGACAATGTAATTAGGGATGAGAAGAGAAAAAAGGATGGAAAGAGGGAAAGGGAAAGAGTAAAAGAGAATAAAGGAACTAGAGATTCCAGGCCTTCCAGAATAGAAAAATCCAAGAAAGTCCAAATGAAACCTTCTTAAATTATTTTCATTGTTCTTAAATCATTCTCTAATTATTTCCCTGGTATCATCCTTGAGAAGAGAGGGCATGGCTTCATTTCCTAGCATGTTTTAATTAATACTTGATTGATTGGACGATTGACTCATTTGAACCCGAAGTGAAATGGAGCTTTTTAATTTTCTTTTCTGCTGAACCTGAAATAGCACATATAGTGATTAGGAAAGGATCCTTTGTTATCAGGAAGTCCCAGCTACAATGGGCTCTTTGTAACTGAGCAAAGGGAAGGTAGGCGATTATTTAGGAGCTGATAAAACACCCCCCCACCACTCCCTGCTGCTTTCAGTGATACGGGATTTTCTTGATCATTATTTTCTCCTCCAGTGAGTTTCATGGCTGGAGGGCCTGGCTGCACAGCGCACTACCTGGGGGTGATCGTCACCCCAGTCCAGCCACACATGTGCCTGATGGTCACTCTCCTGTGCCCTTCAGTGCTTCTTCCCGTTCTCCCCAGTGACCTGGATTGGCTGATTGACGATTAGTCAAGATCTCATTTGTTTTTTCAGAACTTCTGAAGTAACTTCATTCATTCATTCAGCTATGTGCCAGACTCTAGACCTCCAAACAGAATAAGACAGGCAAGGGCCCTTTTCTTGTATAGCCCTGGAGGTTATAGTCCAGTGGAGGGAGACAGGCAATAAATGTGGAAACCACTGTGACAATGAGAAACCTTAGAGTGGGGAGAATCACCAAGGCCATGGCCGGGCTGGCGGGGGTTGGACCACGTTAGATGACTGTACTCAGTTAGGAAAGGCCTCTTGCTGAAGTAACGTGAGGAAATTTGAATGGAAACACATTTGAGCTGAGCCCTAATGTTATGAGATAGTCATGCTAAGATCTCAGAACAAATGTACCAGGCAAACGGGCGAACCAGGTCCTCAGCGAGCGGGCAGTGCTGACAGGTGTGGCCAGGGCTCAGTGAGTGAGAGAGGAAAGGGCAAGGTCAGAGACGGGGCAGGCCCAGATGATGGCAGGACTTGTGGGATACGGTCAGCGTGGGTTTCACGCTGCGGGGATGGGACGTCACGGGTGTAGACAGGGCATGGGGTAACACTGCGGTTTGTGAGGGGAGAGCACGCCAGCGCCAGCGAGCGGTCAACCCAGGGGGACTGTTTGGGGAAGCTGCGCCGTAACCCCGGTGAGAGACAGCGGCGCCCATGGCCCAGCCATGGAAATGAGGACGGCACGGACTGGGGGCGTTTGGAGCCGGAGCCGGTAGGACCAGCTGGCGGGGCGGGGTGTGAAGGGAAGGGGGGGCAGGGTGCAGGGTCTGCGTAGTGCGCGTGTTAACGCAAGTCACTCATTGGTCAGCGTGTGTTAGCGCCTGCCGTGTGGCGGGCACAAAGCCGGCCTTTCGGTCACGCGGAGGAGTGAGACCCGCTGCAGCTCAGGGCTTGAAGCGAGCGTGAGAAACATCAACAAGGACAAGAGAGGGTTTGAGATGTGCATAGCCCCTGTACTCTTCTCTATTCTTTTGATTTTTCAAGGGAAACAAATAATTCTGTTGCGCTGAGATCAGGGCTATGGCGGGTAAATGCCTCTCCGGTGGCTCAGAAGAGAAAGGGACGGGAGCTGAGAGTCCCGGGGGCCTCGCAGAGGAGGCTTGAAGGACAAGGACTTCCTGGTGACAGAGGGAGGGAGGACGGTGAGACATGCCGGGCGAGGAAAGGGCACGTGCGAGGGCAGGGCCGTGGGGAGAGCAGGGACGCGTGGGGGGCTGAGGGCAGTGCGGCAGTGGGGGACAGGCTGGGACAGGTCACAAGCGGCGTGTCCTCCTTGCGACGGAGCTGGGACCCTCAGCCCCTTAGGGCCAAGCAGGGGTGGGTGACACATGTGGATGTAAGAAAGATGACTCGTAGGAAGGAAAAACTAGAGACCCTCTCAAGGGGGGGGACAAGTCCGATAACGGTGGGGGTGAAGAGGAAGGCGCCTCTGCCCTCTGCGTCTGTGGACCCTTTCTCTGCCTTCCCGCCCCGCCCTCCGCTCCCGCAGGGCCACAGCGCCCTGCCCTACCCCTGCTTTGCGTCAGTGCCCACGGGGTCCAGCCGCACCGCGGCCGTGTCTCGCACGTGCCCTGCTCGTCCCCCTTCCCCGTGCTGTTACTGCCACCTAAAAGCCCTGCCCTTCGCACTGCGTGCGCCTGGACACTCGTCCCCTCGGATCTCAATCCAGACTCGCCCTGCAGAGGCCATTCCACTGCTCTCCGCACAGCACGGACAGCACACCTGGCTCTGTGTGTCTGCGCACTTGTCTGTCACGTAGGGAGCGAGCAGCTTTGCCACGCCTGTCTTGCTCGTCACCGCAGTGCCCGCCCGGGCACGGCACGCCCGGAGCCCACGGGCGCACTGGCGAAGGAGAGAGGGAAGGCAGAGGGGTGGAGCGGGCGGTGGGGTGGGGAGGGAAGGGGGCTGCGTCCCGCTGCACCCAATGGGGCTCCCTGGGCAGGGGGCGAGCGAGCTGTACCTAGCCCTGATGATTCGGCTCCTGAGGGAGGCCTGTCCCTACTCTGATTATGGAATGGTCGGTCGGGAAAGAGTGATGAATGAAATAAGTCAGTCTCCTTACTTACAGGAAAACTAGAGAAAGGAGGGAAGATGCCTTTTAAGGGAGACCTACAGACTCAAGTCACGACCCCAGAACTGTCCCAAGTTAGGCAAAGGCAAACACAATCATCATCAGCTGAGGAGGCAGGTGTTTTACTTTGGCCGGCCTATTTGTCTGGGGTCAAATAATCAGGACTCACTCCTACTGCCGAGTGGGGCCTGGGGCGCCCTCCCCCTGCTGACTCGTTAATCCTCACAGCGCCCCACTACTGTCAGCTCCGTCTTACAAATGAGAAAACTGAGGCCTAGAGAGAGAGGTTAACCTGCCCCATGTGACACAGCTAGTGAGTGGCATAGCCCAAATTCGGACCCAGGATATTGGTCCCAGAGCCACTGCTGCAAAGCACTGAGGCAACCCCGCTCCAGGGCCAAAGCTGCTCTAGAGGAGGCTGTTCAACTCGGCGCACGCTTGTTCTAATCAAATTGTCATCGTGATTACATATGCAGTGGTTATAATCATCACCAACATTAGCTTTTTTGTCCCTTTTATTTGCTAGTCCGGATAGTCCAACAACTACAGCAAAAGAAAAAAGAATCCCCCAGTCTCAGTGGCTTCCGTCAACAAAAGTTTACTGCCAACTCGTTTCCCTGTGGTCACAGGGGGCTCGGCTCCGCACAGTCATTCAGAACTCGGGCCAGCTCTGCTAGCCCCAGGGCTCTCGGAGTCCTCCCTGGGGTCCTTTGCCAGCCAGTGGGAAGGGGAGAGAGAACACGAGGGCCCAGGGGGAGACTTCAGGAGCCAGGTTCCCTCGGCCCGAACTCAGTCACAGGGCCTCACAGAGACACGGTCTGAGGAGTGTGATCTGGCCTGTGGCCAGGACGAGGGTGTAGGGGACACCTCACAAAGCGCGACCTCAGTGCCTGTTTCTAAGGAGTTCCTAGGGAGGCCTGGCGGGAGGGGAGCGGTGCGTCAGGGGACACTGGCTCTGGCCCTGGCTCCACCGGGTGCCGGTGAGCTGGTCTCCAGCTAGATGCGGCCTCTTCAGGCCCCAGAGTCCTCATCAGCAAAGTCAGATAATCCAGCCAGAGGGCCCATCTCAGCATCCTGCTGATCCAGAGAGTCCACGTGATAAAGCATCATTTTATTCTTTTTAATAATTCTGATGCCTTAATCGTTTCTATATTGATGCTCTATTTGTGCTTTTGTTCAAAATTGCAACCATAATTATAACATCAATTCTGAGGGAAAATACTATCTGTTTTCCTTTAATACGCGATATCTAGTTACACATCATATATGCATACGCTAGGGGAAAAAAAGAACCTCCAACTTTGTATTAGGACTAGTTATTTGAAGCAATTAATTAAATTGGGAACAACATAGAGACCTACTTCATAATGCCTCGAGCCAGATTTAAGTAATAAACGTAATGTTCTACAAGCAGATTGTTTGCTATGACTTGGCAATTTTTGTACAAAACAGCACTCACATCTATTAGCGGGCATCTGAGCGCGCCAGGTTAGCGAGGTGAGAACCGTCAAGAAAATATACGTCCAGAGCAGCCCAGTTAATAACCACCACCGCGCTGCACTCCCCGCTTCCTGCGCGTGCCGTGTCAGCGTGACCACGGGGACTTGCACGGGAGGGTTGAGAGCGGGCGAGGTCTGCAGAGAAAGCGTGGAGAGGCCGGGGCTGAATAAGACGCTGTAACCCAGGAGAGATGGCGGGAGTCAGGTAGAGGCCGATGGGATTCCTGGTTTGGACAAAAAGAAAAGAAGACGTGTATATATACATCCCGGACTCAGAGACCTCAGGGGAGACTCGGGCTGACAGAAGGACAGTGGAGCTCCCCCAGGGACACCTCCTCTTGTCCCTCTGCCTGAGGGCTCTCCCGGCCACGTCCCCTGCAGGACACGTGAGCAGGCCACGTCCCGCCTTCCTCCTCCAGCAGCCCCTCCGCCCGCCCTGTCCTCCCCCACAACTGTGTCTCCTCCTCCTCCCCTGCCCCCCGCCTGTCCCTCGCCCCTCAGCGAGACGCGCATCGATTATCGCCTCTCAGCTTGAAACCCGCGCCGTCACAGCACGCCCCGGCCTCAGCTCACCTGCACCCACCCAGCCGCGCTGTCCTCTCAGGTCATTTCAGGGACAGCAATGGGTCCCGTTGTTCAGCTGATAAAAAGCACAACAAACGTGTTATTTCCCTGTTTCCAGACTTTGGGGGGCACTTGATCGTGTATTAGCAGTTGACCTGATCGCCTTACATTTAAAGACACTTCACCTGAAAAGGTCCCTGAGGGTCGAGGAAAAGCCTGTCAAGCATATCCCTTGGATAAGTGCATCCTGTGTTTCAAGACTTCTCGACATCCTGAACACGAGTTTGCTGTTTTCCTAGTTCAGATCTTAGCTCCGTCATCCCCCGTGGGAGCCTGGCCTCCCCGTGACCCCTTTCGCAGCATCGCGGGTTTCTTGTCCACAGCCCTTCGCACACCTGTGCGGTGACGAGTGGCGGCACGGCTCTCTGGAGAATGTCTGCTTCCCGCACTGGGCATGGAGCAGTGAAAGCGCGGGGCTCTGCGCTGCCTGTCCCGGATACCCAGGGGCAGCGGGTGCTCGGTGAGTAGTCACCGCACGATGACAGAGCAGACTCTTGTCCTGGTCGTCATCACCTTTAATCACTTTTCTCTGCCCCTCTCCAGGCAGAATCGCCCCTCTCCTTCTGCCATGCTGGCCCCGTCTCCCATTACACGGAACTTGACCCCAGGACGCACGCCCACTGCACTGCTGCTATTTCTGTTTCCCCTCCTTGCCAGGTTGGGAGGTGACCAGGGTCCGAATGCACGGGGCTGGGTACGTAGTGGGTGTCCAGTGAACGTTTACTACATTGGCTTGTGCCCCCCAGGAAAGCAGTCTGGCCCAGATGCTGCTCTCCCCACCGCTCCGGGCCGTGATTCTTTCCCTCATTCGACACAGGGTTCCTGCACTCCTAGACGAAGGTCATCTGCTCAACTTGCTCATACAATAGTTCTCAGACGTGACAATTGTGCAGAAGCATGTGCGTTGTTTGTTACAAACATAAATTCCTAGACCCGCCCTAGACCTACTGAATCAGGGTCTCCAGGAGTAGGGCCCAGGAATCTGTGCCTCTAAGTGACTCCCTAAGCAGTGCTTCCTGCCAGCAGCCCATCTGCTGTCACCTGGGACCCCTGGGTAGAGGAGACAAAGCAAGCACAGTGCAGAACGCCCAATGCAGTCATGTGAGAAACGGCCCATGGGGAGGTCTCTGCCCCAACTTGCAATTATAAGAAAGCCCCACACACGTACCCAGGAGTTGGCAGCTGCAGCAGAGGAATCTCTTAGGATCCTGGTAGAGGATGAACCGCCCACCTCACCCCACCCTCCACAAGAAGGCCGACGATTTGCACCATCTGGAGCTCGCTCTGGAGTTGGTTTCAGGGATGTTAACTGGGTGCCATCGTGACCCTTACTGTTAACGTTTCCAGAAGGCATTTACTATCTGATAGACACTAGAGCTTACAGGTATTATTTCACCTAATAAACAGGAAAAATGAGAGGCAAAGTAGAATGGCCTGTCTTCTCTGGGAGCATGGAAGGAACACCAGTCCCAAGGCCAGCCCTGGACACAAGCCTGGAGCAGCTTTTGGCTCTGAGAT